GCAGTTTGGAGCATGAGTTGCTGTGGTTTCTGTGCATTGTGCTGAAAATACCCACCATTTATCTAGGAAAGAGAGAGAGAGAGAGATACAGTAGCTGTCTGCCGTTAATATGAGCTTGTTAACACTTACTAGTTACAGTATAAATACTGTAGAAATGGGGTTATTTGTGGGTGTGCATGAAGGTAGATGAACGAGAGAAATCTAAAATTTTAATGAATGTAGATGAACGAGGGATAGTAAATTGCATGTAATGTAAATATTTGTTCTAAACAAAACAGAAAATAAAACTTTTTTAACATTTAAATGAATTTATTATAAAGAGGGATAGTAAATATCACAAAATGCAAATAATAGTAGTGTACAAAATAAAAAAAAATGAAAAAACTCAATTTTAATTACTGTAGAGATGTAGAGGAATTAGAGATAGTAAATAGCAAAATATGGAAAAATTAGTTCTGAAAAAATAAAAAAACAATCATTTACATGTAAACAAGAGGAATGAGGGATAGCAAATAGCAAAACATAAGACATGAACAAAATAAAACAATAAAAACCAAAACAAAACATGAAAATTGTACTTAAAAAAAACAAAAAATGATTTGAATGGATGTAGAGGAACTTCATGTATGTTTAAAACAAAATGATTTAGCAAACTCATATCATATTCAGGTCTCTGTTTTGGCATTTAGTGCCTTTCATTCCCACAATTTTCTCAGGTGTATCCCCTGTTTGATTTGGAAATGCTCTGTATTATCAGTGCTGCGAATACGGTTTCATATTTATTTCAAATACAGTCTATATAAACGTATGAAATCTATTTTCTTAGATGTATTTTATGGAAGACACTGTGCTATCTCAATCAGATGATTAATAAACACTGCTAATTAATAAAATCTGCATTTCAGGAAGCTTAATGTTAGGCTAATTCTCTTCCTAGCGTTCTCCCCTATAGGCTCTGCACTCTAAATGGGACATGTCTCAAAACTGCATCACGGGTAATAAATAGATCACAGCTATTCTCATACCACCAACTGCCAAAGTGATTATACAGTTTGACTAACACAAATCGAAAGCAATTATCTGGAGGAGAAAGCAGCTGAGAATTAATCACAAGGCACATAATAACTGAATGAAGAGTTCATTAGCAATGAGAAGGATTCAGCAGGCCTTGAAAAGCTTGGAGCGGATGAGCTTATACGGGCTTGAGTTGAAGGTGTTTATCTTCCATTAAAAGTGTATTGAGCTTTCCATCGGCCTCAATACCATCAGCTGTTGATGCTTTGCTGCTGTGCTAAAATAGCCACCAGTATACAGTAAATCATTGTTCTAGAAGAGTGATGTATGTGAATTAATTACTACTTTTAACTTCGTTTAAAAAAGGAATAGTTTTATCTGCAAAACAGCAGTTATGCTATAGGTGATAAACACAGAGAATAGAGTGGGGGGACTGTGACGTCACTTTGTAGGTGGATCGGCTGTTAGCATGACACTGGTTCCCTCACAAAAAGCCTATAGGATTTTTCCATAGGTTTTTTTTAATTTTAATCCACATTTTAATAAACTGGAATAAATACAAAACTAGAGCCAAACTAAAACGGAAATGAGACAATAATAAATAGCATAGTGAATAAGTGAAATAATCATAACTAAAGGACATATGAAAGCACGTATTTCTATACATTTCGAAATAAGGTGCACGTACACTGTAAAAAAATGACCGTGAATTTAACGGTAAAAGACTGTAAAAATGCTACAGTAAAAACCTGTTAAATGGTTAACGGTAAATTCCCCTACTATATACACGGTGAAAAACTGTATTGGACATTACATGTATTGGACATAAATTTTACGGTAGTATACCGTTTTTGGAAGTAAAAAATACCGTATAATTTACAGTGAATAACCGTAAATTGACATTCCCAGAATTCCCTGCGTTACATTTCAAATTTGATGTTGTTTTGTTGAAATAACTATGTTTCTTCTTAGTTTTTTTCTTATCAGTTTTGTATATTGGGGTTGTGTGTTACACCTAATGTTGTTAAATGAATGTTTATTGCATTATTTCAGTTTCATGTGTGTTACCGTGATGGTGTTTAGTGATTGTGTGAATGACACTGTGCATCTTCTATATATGTTATTATTTAAAAGCTGCTTGTAATGGGTTTTGGTTCATCATGTGACTCTCTCATCACCTCCTGCATTTGGTGGTTATCAGTGCATTACAAAGGTACAAAACAGATTTCAGTACTTCAGTAGGTTGGTATATTAACATTATATCAGTTAATGAAATTACGGTATTTAACTGTAAATTTAAGTTAAAACCGTAAAACCTAAAACGTTGCTACCGTATTTTTTACGGTAAAATTCCGGTAACCACAGCTGCCTGTTTTTTACCAAAAATGTTTTTTTTTACAGTGTACTATTCAATAACATTTTTGTGCATTTAATCTATTAAACAAGAGGAGAGTGAGCGAGTTTTTGGATATGGCAAGATTAAACTTATTTTAGAGAATAAAGTACCACATTTCAGCTTTGTTAGGATGGGTACACAAAATGTTATTTTATCCTTGCTTCTAGGAAATCCTTGTATGCTTTCTAACAGCTTCATGTGGCCGTAAACATTTAATTTTAGTGTGGCTTTAAGCACTATGCATAGTTAAAGTTTCACTTTCACCGTAACTAAGCCGGTAAATGTGGTGTTTACATGGAATAATCGTAATATGAGTTTAGCTTATGAACCCAGAGTCTCCGCATCAGGACTGAGGACTTCCATCTGAAGACTTGTGTTGCATTTCGGGGGGGAAAAAAAAACATCGTCGACCAACAATATAAAATGCGGGAAACTATTAATTGGTTATTCTACAATTAATTGTATTACAAATTATACTACGACTGGAAAATACTGTAAATTTAAAAAAAACTGTTCGGCGTGATGACGTTGAATGTCTTCGACAGCGCCTGTAGTCCCATTTAGCAACTTGTTAGCAACCGTCTTTTTTAAGAAACTTAACAGTTAAAAAAAAAATCACGAGTGGGGTGTAACTGGTGTGTTTTATGTCGTAGAATAAAATGTAAAAGTATCTTGAGCCTGTGTGAACCACGGACCTTATTTTAGGGGATTTCACCAAAATCCCATTCAAAAACCCCTATTGACTCTGGGACGATGGAACCGGAAGTGCTAAAATGCTAACTCGCTTCCGGGTTTTTGCCTACAAAGTGACATCATAGTTCCACCACTCTATTCTATATTCTATATTAATTAATATGACAAGCTGCTACAATGATTATTACGCTTGTAGTTAACGCAACGGTATGTACGTTTTTTTTTTACCTTAAAATATCAGTTTCAAAATCATTATGATGGTACACTGATTTCTAATTAGACAATGGCTTCTGCTTCTTTTTCACGCAATCACGTGCCCTGTAAGTTCCGCGAAAAAGGCCCTGCTTTGCTTCTAGTTATTTTTGACGATTAAATCAATATTAAATCCATTTTGCACCACTGATGTCAATGTGTATATGCACTGATTGGAAATGAGATACTCCTGAAGGAACTTCTATAGGGTCAAAATGCTCTGACCTTCAGTCTCTGGATGGTTTCCAAACACACACATGAAAGCACTTATCAGTACCTCTTTCTCTCTCTCTCTCACACACACACTTCTGAGTGTCAGTGCCAGTGAGCGGTTTTGACCCGACCTTATTTAAAACATAACATGAGTGAGTAAACTGGCACTTAGAGTAAAAGATTAATATTTATTGACAATATAGCCTACCATTTGTTAGGATCACAGCACGATTAAAGCAATTTGTCAGCATATGAATGTATTATGGGTGGTTTATAATGACTAACAATTAGATTACAGCTATTCATGTTCACAGAGGAAGCAGAAGTCTTGATGTTGGTCACCTAGAGAAGACACTCCCGAGGTCTTTTCTCTGACAGGGATTAAAGATAAATATGCATGCTGCTGCTGTCCTGCAGAGGCTGGTTTTAGACCTGGCAGATGGGCAGATGCTCATATCCTGGGCGACAGCAGCACACATAGAAAGTCCTTATAAGGTAAACCTTTACTTTACTGTGTGTATGGAAGGATATGATGGAGACACTTCTTTTCCAGAGATCCAAGAAATTAATTCAAGCATTACTTATTTATAATTACTGAATGGTATTCTGAAACTATTAAAAATTTTTTCCTTTAATACAAAGATGCAATTATTTAGTCTTAAAATGCTGAATGTCCAGCAAATTCAGAAACATTTAATGAGTTATAGCAACATTTTATTTACAACAGAAATGCACAGGTAGAAGAACAACAGATGGTAGAAACAATTTACAATCGCTTCAAATAGCCCAGTGCATCCTGTGCAAGACTTACAAAATAATCTATAGTGTATCACAGCCACACATACATACAAAACACTGAGCACAACAGTGAACTACAGCAAAAATAAGACCAGTAAATCTGCATGAATGCTTAAGAGATCTGAACAAACACTGAAAACTGCTGTCAGTTGGCAAAAAAAAAAAAAAAAAAGAGTTAATTTTGAATTTGGGGGTGGATCATAATTACCAAATTTGGTCTGTACACAATCGAACACAAAATAAATAAATAAATACATAAAAATATTGAATGTAAAACGTGCGAGCAATGCACAGTACGACAATATATGGCAGCTCACAATATAATGTGCATTCAGTGTTCAGAAACTAAGAATAATAATAAAAAAAACAAAACACTTATGTTAGCCATGATCCGATCACAGAAACAAATCAAGAATTAAGAGTGTGACAGCTGGAGAATAAATTTGCAAAAAAACAAACAAACAAAAACAACTGTGAAAATAGTTATTGAAACATTTGAAAGGATGGTCATGATCACACACACAAAAAACCCCCCCAGCATAAATTAAATACTTCTGACATAACTATTTCGGCCAAGTGTGCAGGGATGTATCGCAGATATACACACATTTGGGACAGCCACAATTTATTAATTTTTTTCTGAAAGCCAACCAAAAACATTGAAAAGCACACTTTAACACTGAAGAAACAAACCTTAATGAGTATGAACAAATGTACAACTGAGCATTGTGAACGTTACATGAAACCTATCCACCTAAATCAAGTGTGTTAATCGGGTTAACCTACCATTTACATAATCAGAATCGACAATAAAATGCACACGCGACATGCATGTGCCAACCTAAAATCTCTGAATTCACGGTGAGTATCCATGCATGTGACACATGAAGACATCTCAAATGGCCCTGTTAGGTCGAGTTCCCTTAAACCAGTGTTTTCATTTAAAACAAAAAAAATCTGGATAAAAACAGTTTATAAGAGAACACTCAACAAAAGGGAGTGTTGAGCAAGAAAATTCATTTAGTTGTCCTTAGAAGCCATCCTTTGTTTTTTTTTCCCCTTTTGAATTCTTTGTTATTAAGACACAGGCTGCAACATAAAGCACATCACACCAAATGCGGTTTTCCAAGAATCCGACAAACAGTAAGACTTTTTTTTTTTTAAATACAGGAAAGGTGGTGCTCAAGCATGCTTGACACGCTGAAAACAACATTCTGAGCTTGGGGCCTCAAGTCACAATGCCAAAAACCCTGTAGGACTAGCGCCTCTCTCAGAAATGCCCCGCCAACAACAGTAGCTTTACAGCACTGTAGCGTGTTAGCGAGTGACGGCTGTGCAGATGAAACAGAGAGCAGCTCTACAGATCTATGAGAGACTCACGCTTTTTGAATCTGTGAATGCTGTCTTTAATCGTAACCGTCCGTCTCAAATATCCTCTGTGCTCTGGAGTCTTCAGGAAGTAAGAGTTCATGCCTTCTGGCAAGGTCTCTGGTCTCTTTATGTCACTGGCTTTGTCTCTTTTACAGTCTTTTCAAGCGTCTGTTCGAGGTTACAGGTCAAAGGTCAGTGACTTTATTCTCCACAGCTGCAGCGATCTGTTGGAGTCTGTAGCCCAGCTGCATCTTTTGAGCAGTGGAGTCCTCCTCTAAAGCTGTGATGATCTGAAGAGACGCAAAAATTTACAGACATGAAGAAGATTGTGGATCTTTTTTTATTTCCTGATATGTAAACCATCACCCTAGAGTTGGCTGTTTAGTTTCAGACAATGTAAAAAGGCATATTATGCAATTTTTTATTTAATTTTACACTGAGATAGAGATAGATATCATAGATATTATAGAAATAGGTCAGATAGAGGGATGAAACTCTAAAAGTGCTGATCTTCTTAGCTGGTAAAACATCTATGTGTTGAAGCACCTAATAATAAAATGTGACATTCTGTAGTTTTGTCTCATATTAATCTTTTAATCATATTTACAGATTTCTTGACTCCACAGCAAACAGAGCAATTTTGTTTTCTTTACAGTCCCAATACTTATGGAGGGCACTGTATATATAAAAATATATAAAATTACAACTTTAAAAAATATTTTGACAGTTTACCAACAGCAAGAAATGCAGACTTTACCACATTTTACTCTTATTTTTAGTTTCTCGGGTTTTTGAATAACAGTATTTATTCTACTTCCTCTGAATTAACTGAGAGCGTTCATATCCATCTGTCTGACATCAGAAAGTTGCAAAAGCACACAGCAAACTTTTACAAGAAAAGGTCAGGTGTTTAAATGACCTAAAGTGATATATGTTAATAGTACAACAAATCCTTTATTCTCGAAAGATCAAGAAAAATGTGATTCCTCATGATAAAAGTGATGTCTACCAGCAAATTTTGCTCTACTTTTAAATGTGGGGCAGTAGGGCAGGAGATGTTTGCAACGAGAGTTTATTTTTGTCACTGTTAATACTGTGCATCGTTTTGTTACTAGGTTGCTATAAAACACGTGCCAAAGCATGAGTGCACGACAAGAACGTGCTGTCAAGCCACTTCATCACTATTCACACCAGAGCATGCAAATATCAATAACTCATCTAAAGGGCAAAGCACCCAAAACAGACAAAAGATGACCTACCTTTAAAATATAAAATATTTTTTAAAATTCTATTAATACAATTGAATTAATACAAAAAGAGAGAGAGAGAGACAGAATATACCGAAGTTCTCACCTGATCATAGTATTTGTTGATATACTTGTACAACTCATGCAACGCCACTAGATGATTAACTTCATTAGAGTAGTTCTGCAAAGGAAGCATAGCAGAGGGTAAATATTAATATTATAATGAAGTAGTTACAATTAAAAATGCATTACGGCTACATTCATCACTGGAACACCACTTTCTCTTGTATGTGCGTACAACAGTTAGTAGAAGCTAAAGATTACGGTTTATAAAGTTTTAAATATGGATATATGGAACACAAACGCATCGGCTCCAGAAGGCCTTTATTAACCCACTGAGCCATGTGGAGCACTTTTTATGATGGATGGATGCACTTTTTTGGACTTCAAAATCTCAACCACCATTCACTGCTATTATAAAGCTTGGAAGAGCCAGGAATTGTTTTTAAATATAACTCTGACTGTATTCGTCTGAAAGAAAAAAAAATCATATATGCCTAGGATGGCTTGAGAGTGAGTAAATCAAGGGGTAATTTTCATTCTTGGGTGAACTATCACTTTAAGTTTCTTGAAAATTGGATTTTGCATTCACCAGATATCAATCTATTAGTTACAACAGGCAACACCTCAAATATTCATCACCTTATATTTTTTGCAACGTTTAGGCAAATCTAAATCCTTTTGATAACTTTTTGTCACGAGTGTCTCAAGACGATGCATGCCAAATTTCATGTGAATCAGACCAGCAGCTTATAATAATTATATATAGTACAAAGTATATTTATCAGAAAATGTAAAATGGCTGAAAAGTGTATAAACAGAAATGAAATCGGAGATATACATTTTGTAGGACTTGACAGAAGGATTCATATAGAAACTTAATCTTAAAACATTCCCCAACTTTTACAGAGGCAAATATGGTAACCCGAGTATCACAGACTAGGTAAATGTCCATAACTTACCCTAGAGAGTTCAGCTAGAGAGGAGTTCATCTCTTGGTCACTGACAGGGATGGTCTGTCTTATATCTGAATAATATCTGATGAAATACAATCAACAAAGCATGGTGAGTACATGTCATTACGCATTAAACTGCATTAATATGAGCTATCTGAACTCACCTCTCCACCATTTGTTTGTAGCGTGGGATGTCCCGAGCATACAGGAGCTTGTTGATTGGGGAATCCTGTATGTACAACACAGAAAGTCATTAGCAGCTGATCTCTCTATCTGGATCTTTCCCACAATCCATCTCTTCCAGCTTTATTTTGATTGGCTTACCCTGCCCAGTTTGTGGTCGGCGATAGTGCAGGAGTCCATGAATGTCTGAGCAATGACTGACAGCACTGCGTCTACATTGTCAGAGGCCTGAACATCGAAGATGAACTGAGGGTTCTTCAAGATATTAATCCAGAATCTCAGTGGCAAGCTGCAAAACAAAGTCAAAATACAAGTTGTGACCAAATTACCTATAATTCTTGGCTTATCCTTAAAATAATTATTTACCAACCTGTTTGTTTTCCATATGTGGATTGTCTCTGGGTCTGTAATGTTGTGCTGTGCAGCCTGGTCGTCCAACAGATCAAAGAAATATTTGACAGCCAGAGGAACCGGCTGACTGGTGCTCAGAATCACAGTGAACAGATCGTCTACGAACTTCTGCAGTGTACCCTAAAACACACAGTACAGGTGATCCATCTGGTCCTATTTAAAGTGAAGTGTGACAGTGGAGTGTGTGTGTGTGGTACCTTCACAGACAGCAGGCGTGTGAGGTAGATCTCTGGGATGGCCTTGGCTCTCTCACGCTCTTTGTCTCTCAGACTGCCCCGTCTGTGTTTGGGTAGCTCCGCCTCCTCACCGGCCTTCACCAGGTGCCACTGCTTCACTCCTCCTTCGTCTCCATCCTCCAACATCGGGGTCTCTGAGAGAGGAAAGAAAGAATATATGAACATATGAGAGGTATGAGCAAACGGTTTTCTTTGAAGTATTTTGCTTTGTACGCTACAGTTCAAAGGTTTGGGCACGGTAAGATTTTAAAGTTTTTATTTAAAAAAAAGTATCTTATGCTCACCAAGGCTGCATTTATTTGATCAAATATTAACAGTAATACTGTGAAATATTGTTATAATTTAAAATAACCATTTTCTGTTTGAATATACATCTCTTAAAATTGTATTTATTCCTGTGATGCAAAGCTGAAACTTCAGCATTATTACTCCAGTCTTTAATGTCACATGATCTTTCAGAAACCATTCTAATAGGCCGATCTGCTGCTCAAGAAACACTTCCGATTATTATCAATGTTGAAAACAGCTGTGCTGCTTAATATTATTGCAGAAACCAAAATATGGATTTTTTTGATGAATAGAAAGTTACATTTTTGTCGTTGTCACTTTTCTTCAATTTAGTGCATCCTTTCTAAATATAAGCAATCATTTCTTTTTACTGACCCCAAACTTTTAACAGTAGAGTATATTAAATAAACAATCTGTAATGTCTGCTTTTGAATAAAACAGTAAACTATATATGTATATATGTAATTAATTAGATTTTATTATGTGGAACTTCATGGATATAAATGAAAAGATATTACTAATCATAACAAATAAATAATTATTTGAAACGTCAATAAAAAAGGAAAAACTTAAGTTAGTAAAACTAATATTTTAAAACTAACAACTAAGATAGTTCAACTCTATATTCTGATTAGAACTATCAGTATATGCAAACCTGCATATCAACTGAATTCTACACTGATTTAGTCAATTTGGATGTTTTTAACACTCTAAACACCAACTAAACACCACGTCATGCTTAAAAACAAGAACCTACTCTCTCCGGGTATGTAGTCATGGCTGTCGTGGTGGATTTGCTTGGATTGTCGTGACACCAGTGTTACTGTGGCTCCATCTGGGACCTGAAGAGATATAGGAAACACTTACAAATCAACAATGACTCAAAAAAATACAGCATGCAAAATTGCACTCCACAAAATGAAGTCATTAGATTGAGGTACAACTAGAGAGACCTTGTAGTGTTGTAAGGTGTTGAGGCGTTTCCAGGACCCCTGAACCACTGATGTCAAGTCCTGATCCGACAAGATTAGATGACCAGCCATTCCCGCCCTCCACTCTATAAAACACAGGATCACAGGAACTACAAATAAATGCCTTATTATAAAAATATTAAATTATATATATATATATATATATATATATATATATATATCATATTATTTTAAATAAGTGATTAAATATATAATTAAATAGTTTTATATAAATATATTTTAAATCATTATTCATTTTTATGTATTTCAAGTAACAAATATACAGTAACTATGCATATAAATATACTTTTCTTTTAATAATTGGCTTGGTGCATCTTACCCAGATGCACAGAGTCTGCGGAGGGTCTCTGGGAGTATGACGTGCCCTTCAATGTCTGCTCCACAATCTTCTCCTTCACCTGTGTGATGGTATCACAATCCAGCACTTTAGTGGGGACCGTCAGAGACTCACCAGCACCTCCGCTGCTCACCAGAACATTCAGAGTCTACAGAACAACACGGAAAGAGGTTGAAAAGCAGTTGTTTGCTTAAAAGTTGAAAAACTTTCCATATCTTTTTTTAGGACTCTGTCATATTATATGTCATGTGTGAACGAGTTATCAGATTGAAAACAATGCCACTGAGGAAAAACACATAAAGAAACAGTAAAATATCAACCTTTTTTTATCTAGATTATGCATGACACTTTAGTAGCAAGTTCATTTCTGCATCAGTGTAGATTAGAGAGTGTGTGTGTCTCACCAGTGTGCGGTACTCCACGTCTTCCCGCAGCAGTCGGTTGTCGTTGAGTGTGTATTTGGCTTTGCCTGAAACAGCATCTACTGGACCTTTATCCACCTGGTGCTTTATGGCTCTGAACAGCATGTAGAACGCCTCACCTGCTGTGTCCTGCCATATGACAAACAAACATGGCTACTTACTAAATACACAAATGCATGGATGTGAAATATTGAATACCAAGTTAAGCTCAGTTATGCAAATATCACTAACAATATAAAAGTTATGTTTACTTTATAAAAATCAGTAAAGATTTCACAGCAAAAAGGCATGTGTACCACAGTCTGAAGATGGACAGTTGTACTAAATACACTAATTATACAAATTTTTTACAATACTAAAAGGCCTTTTCCTTGCTAAAACAGTACATACTCTCAATCAGACGACAGACAGCATGTAGTTTCAGCAAAGTTTTGATCACATCGATCATTTAGAGCCCATAGAAATTTGGGTGATACATAAGGCTTTACAGCAGGGGTGCCCAAACTCGGTCCTGGAGGGCCGGTGTCCTGCAGAGTTTAGCTCCAACTTGCCTCAACACACCTGCCGGGAAGTTTCTAGTATGCCTAGTAAGAGCTTGATTAACTGCTTCAGGTGTGTTTGATTAGGGTTTGAGCTAATCTCTGCAGGACACCGGCCCTCCAGGACCGAGTTTGGGCACCCCTGCTTTACAGGGTTAAAGATGACCTTCTGTATAAAATTTACATTGTTAATTAATTGTATTAATCTGCGATGTAAGTTGCTTTTACTATGGACTAGTTACATGTTTAACTACAAGTACTGTGGTTAAATATGTAACTAGTACAATCTCTCATCCATTTCATTGTATCTTTTACTGCGCCCTTGTGAACCAAACCCAAAGCAAAACAAGCGTCACTCACCCTGAGGAAGGTGTAAAGACATATGGACATCCAGTTAGTCAACAGCTTCTCCACCACAGACTCGGTCCTACAACACATGAGAGATTTCCACTGAGAATCAATGACGCCACAGTTATCAGCAGTGTATTCATGTGATCACAGTGTACAGTGATTTTAATTCATATCTGACAAACAGACTCGTCACTACTGACCTGCGCAGCATGAGTTTGGGGTTTTTAGTGGTGTACTGCTCCACCAGGTGACTAAGCAGAGTTTTTAGGATGTCTGTGAAATACTCCAGTTTGCCGTGCAGCGCCACCGTAAGGAGGGAGGCCACATACGCCCTGTCCCTTGGAGAGAAGGTCCGCTGGGCTTCCAGAGTGTGGATGAACTGTAGGGAAGTATATGACGGATATGAGATGAGGACACACACAGCCTTAAAACCTCAATGGTTCATATAATCCAGTTTGGCTGTTTGACTAATTCTTTCTCACAGGTTTAAGGAAAGCCCACCTTGGTGAGGAACAGTTTGCTGTTCAGCAGGTTAGAGAGCTGAACCAGGCCTTGCTCCACTGTGGCGCGGCGACAGGCGGGAACGTCAAGGTCCCGTCTCAGAGGAGAATCACGGTGACCAGGGAAGAAAATCCTCTCGGAGTATTTACGATAATCCAGGACTGGAATCCCAGAGCCCATGAGATCACTGGACACATCCATCATCTCAGTCATCAGATCTGCACATAACACACACACGGTTTATTATAAAGGCATTTCAAGCATGTCGTCCGAGTCTGGCTGATGTTTATGTGGGAGCGTCTGACCCGTGAACTCCTTTTTACAGCGGTCTCGGACACTCGTCTCCAAATTCTCCAGTTGGATCTGGACTTTCTTATAGTCTCTTAGTGCTTGCTTGCTTTTCCTCCTGTTAAACACACACAAACACATATTAAATATAAAGGTAACACTTTACAATAAGGTTCATTAGTTACCATTAGTTAACTACATTAGTTAACGTGAACTAAGAATGAACAATACTTCTACAGCATTTATTAATCTTAGTTAATTTCAGCATTTACTAATGTATTATTAAAATCACAAGTTGTGTTTGTTAACATTAGTTAATGCACTGTGAACTAACATGAACTAACAATGAACAACTGTATTTTTATAAGCTAACATTAACAAAGATAAACAAATAGTGTAATAAATGTATTGTTACAAGCATACCAAGCATAAACATATGTACTGTACACTGGGGTATCTGAGACAATACTGTAAATCAAACATTTTTAAATTCGAAAACAAACAAAAAGTTAGCATTTTGACAAATTTAATACAACAAAATGTTTGTGTGTTCTCAATGGTCTCATGCTTCATAATGTGATAATCAGATTTTAAACTTGTGGAGAATAATACATTGTTTTACTATTATTATTATCATCATCATCATCATCATCACTTTTTGATCCCAACGCAAGTCTAAAATGAGTAATAAACTGTATAATCTGTGTGGGAATACCTGTATATGAGTACGATAACCAGCACAATAAGAGCCACAATGGAGGCTCCCACCCCGACTCCCACCTGGGCCTCCAGAGGGAACGCAGCCGGGCCCTGAGAATCATACTGCACCCGTCCCAGAGAAAAGTTCAGATTCCCCATCCTCACCTACACAAACACACACAAAAAACTGATTTCCATATCGTATCATTGGGAAACACCACAAACACAAAAGAGGACAGATATAGGTTGGCGTACAGTGAACTCTGGGAGCGTGTCGGCGGCCTCTCGTTTCTTGGTCGCTGCCACTGACGGCTGCTGTGTCGGAGGCTCACAGTACAGATGGTTTCTGGTTAGAGTCTTCACAGCACACTCTCCATCACCAATCAGAGCAACCACCTCGTCCTTAGACATGGCCAGGTCCAGATTCTCTCCCTAGAATCCAAATTGAGACAAAGCGCTTGTCATTTTTGTGTACAATTCATGGGCCATTCAACTTTTCCACGACATTCTAATTTATTGAGATGCGCCTGTATATAACCAAATAATCTGTTGTGCATTAATACACAGGGGACACGAGATTCCATTTTGGAGTTACAGTATGTTTTTTAGCACAATGCAATCTTTTTACTGCATAATTTCATTAAATAAAAATTTATATAATATAATATAATATAATATAATATACTATAATATAATTCATTGTAATTAAATGTTTTAATTTGAATTAAATTAAATTTTCATGTAATTGTAAAGAAAGAAATCTTGGTAGTTATTATGGTTTTACTATACGATACGATACGATACGATAAGATAAGATCAATCACTTTTACTTTTACTACACACAATTACTTCAAAAACAGCGATTTCACACCTCGTTGCTGAGGAATATAATGTAGCGATCTAGTATCTAGGCTATTTTATTAATAAAAGTAGCGGGGAAGCATTGACAAGTTTGTGTGTGTGTGTGTGTGTCTGCAATCTCCGACTCTCTCTCCCTCCCTCTCACTCACTCTCTGTGCATGTATGCGATTGATGTGTGTGGGTTTGTGTGCATCAATTAAAGCAATTAATATGGAATGGTGATTAAACCGACTTGGAACTACCTGTGCATTAAAGAGTTTTAATGCATACCTGCCAGCCAATCAGAATCCAGTATTCAGACAGACCATGGTATAATATAATATTATATAATATAATATAACATAACATAACATTAATATAATATAATATTTCAGTTATAGTTCAGTTATATTAACTATTATTAGTTTTGGGGCTTTGAATTCTATAGTTACACTATGTTTCTGATATAACAAAATAACAATCTTCAGTGGATTAATATACAGTTGAGAAGGGCCTGACCTCCACAGAGATGATGCTGCCGGGTTTGTGTCTGAAGGGTTTGCTGGGGTCGTGTTGATTGAGGCTATGAAGAACAGGATTGGGCTCATAACTGAAGCGGCTGCCGCTGACCGCCTCAAACTCAAAGTGGAGGTTATCCAGGAGGAAATGCACACTGACAGCAGCACGCAGGGCCTCGGGCCCCACCTCCGGAGTGGGACACAGGATCAGAGTTGAGCTGTTCACTGTGCACCGCTCCTCCACCTGATCAGGAACAGGACACGAGGAAACCAACTGTGTTACAATGACTGACATGTGCATACTGGACAGTTTGTTTAATGCTGTGAGAAAGCACAAGCACAGACTCACTTGTGTGAACTCTACCTGTTTGACGACACAGAGACTATCTTCAGGACAGTTGGGCTCTGGGATGATCCGCCGAGCTCTTCTGAGAAGACTGTAATCCACACTGCTCCTCCTCCTCCTCCTCTTCCTCTTCTGTGAGTGCGGCTCCAGAGGCGTCAGGGTCACGTGGATACGAGGCTCCTGTACCACGTCCAGATGCAGGCCAGACACTCGAATGATACGACCCCCGCTTACACAAACACAGATGTTGGATCTTATGTATGCTGGACTAATAACACTTATTTTTATTTTCAAATCACAGATTATGGAAAAAATATAGCAAATCTTTCATTTGCTAATAGGTGAAACTGTGCATGTGTCTAATATATTACGTTGCTAAAACCCTAATACAAATCTATAACCCTTCTGTAAATTACAATAAAGAGTTTTTAAGATGATAAATCACATTTATTTAAACTTTTGAAATAAAGATAGCATAAAATTACATATTTTTATATTTTAATTTTGAGAACAATAAAACAATTTATAGAAAAATTTCTGAGATCAGACAGATAAATACATAAACATATGACTGCTCACATTTATGGCAATGGCTCTACATAAATAAGAAATTAAGACTTAGGACTTATTTAAGTTTGTAAAAATAAAATCAAATAATTAAAATGAGATAAATGAACTTTATTGAATTGTATAAGACTTGTGTTGATAAAAAAAAATCATTACATTGGCAAAACTTTTTTTTTTCATATTTGAATCATATATCTCATTAAATTTCCTTCTTTAATTCACTAATGTAAATGTAAAAAACCATATTCTCTATATATAACAAGTCTTGGTACCTTTTGCAGTTTTGTAAAATACTATATATATATATATATATATATATATATATATATATATATATATATATATATATATATATAATATAAATAAAATAAACAAAAATCCTTAAAACAAGATAACTTCATTGATTTTTATAATACTATTTTTGACTCCATTGGCAAAATTATTAAAATAATTAAGTTGTTTAAATATAATGTTACTCACCCAAGGAGCTTTTGGAGCTTTTTAATATAAATAAAATGAAATAGGCTACAGTATTTCCCCGGCATAGGACAAGCAGTTTTGATCAAATAAAATAAAATTAAATCTTTAAAACAAGATAACCTTCTGATTTGATTAGTTTTCAGAGAAAATATTTTTCTCACTCCATTGGTAAAATGTTGTTTTCTTATTTGAAGCATAAATCTAACTAAATTTCCTTCTTTAATTTATTAATAAAAAAACGAACTAACATATTCTCTCAACAAACAAGTCTTAATACTTACTGCAATTTTGTATAAAAAAAATAAATAAAATAAATAAAAATGTAAAATTAAATAAATACAACTATGCTTAAGTTCTTGTACATGTCATGCTCCTCACCTGATGAAGCTTTTGGAGGGAGCAGCATGGGTTACGTTGGGGTCTGGGGTGTATTGATAGAGGACTTCCTGTAGATGTCGCTCAGCTCTACCAAAGCGCACTGTAACGCTGCTCTCTCCGGTTCTGTTACTCCCTCCAGTCACACACTCAACACCTTCATTGTTGTACTGCTCAGCAGAACTGTTAACACAAAGACTGTATTAAAACTCTAAACAATCTAACTTGGTGTTACCAAATGTGAACAGTCATAAAAGACAAAAAAAATCCTGTGTCATTTATGGAGTACATTATATTCATGAATTGATATATTTAGGACACAGCTCACTGTTTTACATCTACAAAGACTTCCAGCGTGATTAATTATTTATAACATAATCAGCTGACATGATAGGAGTTGTAGAGATGATATCATAATGAGATTTACTGATGACTTCTGTCTGACTGGACGGCCGTAGAGGACGCTGCTCTACACAGTCACTTACATGTAACATGGGACTCCACCAATCAGGATGCTGATCTCATTGGAACGGCCCGTCAGAAGGTTCTGTCCCGTGATGGTGAGTGATGTGCCTCCAGACATTGGGCCTTTCAGTGGAGACACTCCCAATAACACTGGGTCCTTGAGTTTAGAAAACAGAACACGCGTGTGCACACACACACACACACACACGTTACAAAACACTGCCTTATACATGTGTGCTGTTACACCCATGACCCCATCCTGTCCGAGCCCTGAATAATACAGTAAAACTATCTAAAAACCGTAAAATAAGATATATTTATGTAACTGAATTGTATACAATTTTTACATTAAAAAAAATAAATGTTTAATACTGTACTTTAATACTTTACTTAAAGCCTTTACGTATAATGGGTTATTAAAGGGTGCATAATTATTCATAATGTGCATTATAATACATTATATCTTGTCGTAAACAATTATAACCTAATTTAACAATGAATTAATAAGTGTTATAATGCATTAACTGGTTACAATTATGTATAAGACTGTACAATGCATTATAAGGTGCATTACAAGGCATAATTAATGCATTAAAAGTACTTTTAGAATGCATTATACATAAAGGCTTTAAGTAAAGTGTTACCATTTTTCAAAAAAATCTTGTTTTAACCATAAAAGCTCATTATATTATCTTTTGTTTCTTCCTTTTTTTCCTTTACATTGTGTGGTATTATTATCCTATTAATCTATACACTCCTACACATTATTAAAAATCGTATTAAAGCCCCTGAATAACGCATACTATTTTGGTTGTGTTTTTAAGTACAAATATCTAAAAATCATTCAAATAAGATACATTTACTTCATTAACTTGTATAAGATTTACACATTCTTAAAAATATTAATAACATTTTTTTAAATTCACTCTATTAGCAAATTGCTTTTAAATCTCACTATACTTCATTTTTCAATTCCATTTTTTCCATTCATTTGTGTGATATTAAAGCCCGGAAAAATAAATAATATTTTGGTCTTGTTTTCCAGTAAAAAATATCTACAATAAAATACACTTACTTTATTGAATTGTTTAAGACTTAAACATTTAAAAAATATTTGATATATATATTTTTTTACTTTTTAAATTATTTTTGAAGCATAAATCTCACTATATTTCCTCATCCTCTTAAATTTCTTATTTTCCAGTAAAAACTAAAAATCCTTTTAAAAACAATATACATTTACATTATTGATTTGTTTAAGACACGTATTTTTAACAAATATTTTCATAACTTTTTTTTTTCCACAAGATTGCAAAATTTGAAGCATTAATCCCACTATATTTCCTTTTGTAAAAATGTATTTTAAAATAAAAATAAACGTTAAAATATATACTCGGAAAACAAAGCTTAATACCTTTCACAATTTTAATAAAAATAACAATAATAAAGTTTTAAGTATGACAATACAAAAACACTTGAAGAAAATTCATTCTGCAGTGAACAAAGTTGTTTTTAAAATGGCCAAATACCTCCCTGCCTTTTAATAAATACAGAATGAATTCCTTGCATGTTATTCATTCTGGCTAAACCATATTTATCCCTTTTGTGGCTTGTTGGATTAATGGTTACCTGGTAACGGAAGTGCTGGGCAGATTGCCCGATTCCTCCGCCTTTAACCTGCACCGAGATGTGGCCGCTCTGCTCCCCTGCACTCGCTGTGGTCTCACAAACAATACTAACAGGCACACAAAGAGACCTCCCATTAATCAGTGCACTGGGTCAATACTCTTCATCACACTGTGGAGCTGAATTGCCTGAAGCCAATAATACAGTGTCATTAACGAATGGCAGCAATATCCAGCATGCCCTCACTCACATACTTTATAGTCCGACAGAGTGCTGTCTGATTTACCTGGAGGACACCTCGTATCTGTCGGGGATGACCGTGCAGGGGACTCCGGCTACAGTCACCGAGTGCTGGATGTCTTCAGCTCTCTGACCCAGATTAGAACCAGACACTGTGAGCACTGTGCCGCCCTCCACTGGACCAGAAAGAGGCTCAATCTGCAAGAAAACACATAATCAGTCATGAAGCTACACAGTGATGACAATCCCATAGATTTGTATAGAGTCCTGAAACACTAAACTATTGTTCAAAACCAAGGCTACATTCATTTGATTAAAATGCAGGAAATCAGTAACCTTGTGAAATATTATTACGATTTAAAACCTTCTGTGTTTTTCTGTCAATATGGGGTGCTGTGTGTACATTAATGAGGAAAAAAAATTAACTTAAATGATTTTAGCAAATGGCTGCAATATAACAAAGAGTGAAAAATTTAAGGGGGTCTGAATACTTTCCGTACCCACTGTAGTTTAAAATGTAATTTATTCCTGTGATGCAAAGCTGAATTTTCAGCATCATTACTCCAGTCTTCAGTGTCACACGATCCTTCAGAAATCATTCTAATATTCTGATTTGCTTCTCAAGAATCATTTCAGATCATTATCAATGTTAAAAACAGTTGTGCTGCTTAATGTTTTTGTGGAAACCGTGATAGTTTTCTCACGATTCTTTGATGAACAAAGTTTAAAAGAACAGCATTTATTTGGAATCGAAATCTTTACTGAAAAAAGTCACAAATCTCACTGTATTTCCATCCTTTCCTTTTTTTCCCTTTTAATTTGTGTGGTGTTATATATCATTGATCTCACCCTATTAAAGCTCCGGAAAAATACTAATTAAAAATAATAATTTTGTCTTGTTTCCAGTAAAAAAATTATCTAAATATCCTTTACATTGAAAACAATATACATTTATATTATTTGAATTGTATGAGACTATCATATGATTATTATTTACTTTTTTTTAATCTAATGGCAAATGTTTTTTTCTAGTTTGAAATTACCTTTTAAAATTAAAAATAAATATTAAAATATATAATAATAACTTTCACATTTTTTTAGTTTTAAGAAAATTTATTTTTGCAATATAAAAAGTTGCTTTTTCAGTGTAAAATTCCTTGCATTTCATTCCTTCTTGCTCACCCCTTTTATCCAGTTTTTATTGCTTTGATGAACAGAAAGTTTAAAGGAATTTAAAAGCATTTATTTGAAATAGAAATCTTGTAAAATTATAAATGTCACTACTGTTACCTTTGATCAATTTAATGCCTCCTTGGTAAATAAAAGTATTATTTACTTTCAATAAAACTATTTATTTCATTTAAATTTCCACCTAGCAACCACCCAGAGAACCCTAGCAACTAACCAGAACACCTTAGCCTTATTGCAATGGCATGGCGACCGAACATAACACCCTAGCAATATTACACACATTTTCTTCAGTGAAAAGCAGAGTTCCTGCATGCAGACATCTATGAAGTGATTCAGTTAATCACGTCAGGTGTAATAATGTGATCTGTTATGCTATTGTACAAACACACGGGTCAGTAAGAAAGGCCAGCAACGGAAACCACAGCATTCCTACATTTAAAAAGACAAGGGTCACTCCTTCCAGGACAATAATGTTTGTATCAGACAGTGAAGAAAAATCCTTTTACAATGCAGTTTAGCCTGGCAGGTTTATTCCAAGTTCTTAAAAGGACAGTTCACACAAAAATAAGCAACTGAACATCTTCTTTAATACAGAATACAGAATGAGGTCAAGGAGTTTATGACAGAATTTTCATTTTTGGGTGAACTGCCACTTTAACAACATTAAGTATAATATTAATGGCTCACAAAAAGCACAAGTTAACAGATGAGTCCCTCACCGTGTGTATGTGAGGAGCAGGACAGGTCTGTTGGACGTGTTCGGTGCAGGAGCTCCTGTAGACGCAGCTGGAGCGAGACCCTTCACACCACACACACTCGTACTGCTGATCGGCCGTGTGACAGCGACTGCAGTCGGCCCGGCCCACGGAGCAGTTATACAGCCGAACTGCAAGACAAAACACACGTGACACAAACAGAGTACAGCACGTGCAAAGCCTCGGCAAACAGCGGGTAACGTACCATGCAGGTCTTCTGGGTAATCCATCTGGAAAGAGTCCCTCCTCCTGACTGAGATCATGCTCCTGTATTCCTCCATGGCAGCCGAGTAAGAGTACTTTGAAACCGAAATGCAATCACAATCATTTTAAATACTATAACAAAGCATTACAGGCACTTTCAGAGTGTAACAGTTATTTATATGTAGGCCACAAGCAGTTTTTATGGATGATATATAATACTGCCACATAGAGTTGTGCTAGCAACAAAATTACTGTTAAATTATATTATAGTTAAATATAATAAAAGTAAACTTATTTTATTTCAGCTAGTTGCTAAGGCAACATTTCACGTTTTCATTTATTATAACTTGATCTACTAAAATAAGCAAATTTTTTTTTAATAAAAACAATATAAGCATAAAATTATATATATATATATATATATATATATACATAAATAAAATTTAAATTATATATATATATATATATAGTAATTTAAAACAATAATAAAACTGTCACAGGATGTCAATGATGATTTTTTTATATACATTGTAAAAAACAAAAAAAAAAACAAAAAAAAAAAGCACTGGTAATTTTCTGGTAACATTGTGCAGTAATTTTTACTGGCATTTCCATTAACTCTGAAACACAACGCAATGAAGTGCTAAAAATCAAAATACAGGCAAAACACCTGTAAAACAAATCAATATGGAAAATTCCTTCAAATTAATACAATGTGCCGAATTTTTACTGTTTTTTTTTTTTGCTAGCAGACCTGGTGTAGCTGGCAGGTAATGAAGAACAGAGATGGCTGAGTGTCGTCCACTTCCACAAAAGCATCCACCACCACCGATCGGCCCTCAATCACCAACACACACTGGTAATCCAGATCTTTGTCCTGAAAACACACACAGATATATTCTTTTTACGGCCTACATATTTTTTTTTAAGTAATTCCTAAATAAATCAGATAACATAATACACCCAATTAATGCTATTCTTCTGAACTTTCTATTCATCAAAGATTCCTAAAAAAATGTATCACAGTTTCCACAAAAATAATAAGCAGCAAAATTATTTTCAACATTGATAATAATAAACAATACTTTTTGAGCAGCACATCAGCATATTACACTGATTTCTGAAGGATCATGTGACACTGAAGACTGGAGTAATGATGCTGAACATTTAGCTTTACATCACAGTAATAAATTACATTTGATTAAATATATTCAAATAGAAAAAAGTATTTTTAAACTAATAATATTTCACAAAATACATTTTTTACTGTATTTCTGAATTTAAAATGTTTAAAACTGCCAAAATGAGCACTTCTGAGAAGAACTATGAATAAACATTCAAACCTATTCAGTTTATATTTTTTATAATCCTCAAGACTTTAGAATTTTTCTCTGAGAATGCTGTGTAGTTTCCACATGGTTGCACATCAGTCAATTAATGAGAGATGATTGGTTTCAGATTTACTCCCCCCAAATGTCCCGTAAAGAAACCGCAGCTGGTTGTTGTGCATGTCAGTCAGACAGACCCTTGCTGTCTAAGTGAGCATTACCAGACATTATGCTCATAGTCACAGTCTGACTGTGCCAGACTATCAAGCCCCAACAAGCCTCAAGACGCTGCGTTACCTGATAGAGGTGTAAGTTGCGTCCCAGCAGAGTGATCTTCCTCTCGACATTGACAGGTAGGAGGGAGCTGCCCTGGATGTGTTCCACACACGGACAGGCATGAGAACCTCTACTCACGAGCAAACTCTCCTCTTCCTGATCACACACACAGATGGACAACACACTTCATTACACACACCACTGCTCTGAAAGGAGTAGACGTGGAGTATCTCTCAGCTTCTGCTATTTTATGTATAATACATATAATAAGCAGAATGACAGCACAACAAAAGTGAGTGTGTTAGACAGAGATTTAATGAAAAACAAAATGGACAAAAAAAGACACATAGGGAACAGCCACCAGATGCAAATTAAACGATTAAAGAAATGTTCTGGGTTCAATACAATGCAACAGTGTTCCTCCCACCTTCTCAGCAGTGCTGGTTCTGGAAGTATCTTTTCTATAATTTTTTTCCCATAGAGATTTTAAAAATGTCTTTGTTAAAGAGTTATAAGTCATGAAACGAATCAACCAACTACGAGGTGAATCACAACATTATAAACTTTGATTTGAAGCAAAAAAGTATCTTAAAATTGAACAAAAAGACAAAATTAGGTTTAATGAGGTAAAGAACTACAATCCCAATAAGCACTGTGAATGACACCATGACAATGATGGATGAATGGATACATTTATCGGCCTGTAAATTCATTCATACCCATAGAAATAGTATATTTTACAATTATTACAAATATTGAACTAGTTTGAGAGCATAGGGAGACTGACTCTATTACATGATTTGTGGTGCTTCATGGGAGTGTGCGGGCACTGAAGTGCTCTTTTGGTTAAATTTGCTTGCTTCAATTCCCTGATTGGTGGAGAATTGTTGAAGAATAATGGGTAATGTAGTTATTTTTTTTACGGGAAATTCTGCTGCTTAAACATGATTTAAAAAATAACGAGGGCTGATGGCTTCAACAAAAGCATAGACCATTGGTTAAAAACCGTGTAGCTCACACTAGGTCTGTTTTCAATGTTTTTTCATTTCTGTTAAAAATTGCCCTATAAGAAAAAGGGATTTTTACAGCTGGAACCTGTGTTAAACGGATAGTATACCCAAATAATTTACTCACCCTCATGTCGTTGCAGACCTGTATGACTTTTTGTGGAACAAAAAAAAAAAAAATATATATATATATATAAGCAGCTGAAATTAAAATCCTAATGTTAGGAATGTTAGGAACATTATGAATGTTTTATCCTAATAATCAAAGTCAAAGGGGTCCAAAATAACATATTTGGACCACACTGACTTTCATTGTTTGAACAAAAACCTTTTTTAATTCAACCGAAGAAGTCATCAAACAGGTTTGTAATAGTGTTGTCAAAAGTACCAACTTTGGTACCAGTCGGTACTGAAAATTTTGAAATGTAACAATACCAGCATTTGAGTTTTTGAAAGCCGTGTCCATCAGCGGATCTCTAATATATCTGCTCATAAATGGATCCGCTCATAGATGCGGCTTTCAAACGCTCCCTTGTGTATGTGAAGAGCGTCATGATCATTTGTAGCCAATCAAAGCCATATCTGTTGAGCGTCTGAACAAAATGGCCAATCAGAGGTGTTTAAGAATCCACTCAACAGCGCTCAAAATGCTCGCAGGAAATGCTGGTATCGTCACATTTTTAGATTTTCAGTACTGACTGGTACCAAAGTCGGTACTTTTAACAACACTAGTTTGTAATGAGGGGTAAGTAAATGACAGCATTTTCTTTTTTGGGTGGTGAACTATCCATTTAAACTGCGAGTGTGTTACTGTAACCCAGTTTTTGGCTTGTTTTTACAAACTGATGATGGATGAGTCAAATTAATTTCTGTGCAAATCAACATCATGAACCCAGAACATTGCTTTAATGTTGCATTAAAGTAAATAAATATTAAATGACTTTAATATATAATTACGGTTGAATTAGTAATAGAGCAGAACTGCTTTCATCCATTTAATTATATATCCCATCATTCACACATGTCATTTACGCTTTAGGTACGTTCAACCTCCAGCATCTGCAGCGAGCAGAGTTGGCCTGAGGAACCACACTCACCAGGAGGAAAAGGTCAGCCGAATCAAACTGGTAGTCTGTGTCTGGAGCGGGGGGGAAATCGGATGAATCAGGCCCTGCCTCACCGTCGCCAGAGGGGGCGCTGGCTGACGACACAGGGGCGCTTGTGTCTATAAGAGCATCTATATCCATATCTGCCTGCGAGAGGGTAACCACTTCAGAGGAGGATGAGGGCAGCGCTTCAATCAACGGCCCCATCGTCACCACTTCCCCAGCTCTCAACGCGGGCAGCGTCACTTCAGCGGCCTCTTCACGCGACGAAGGTCCCACCAGTTCTTCGTATGATTGCGGGGTCGGCGTTGACAGCAAACCTACCTGGATGCTCTCCTCCACCCAAGAGGCATTTTTGGAGAGGGTGGTGGCCTCTGTGATGGTATCGGTTGACTCTGTAGTGGCGCTGGATGGGTGCGTAGAGGAGGTTGTAGCGTGGTTGGGGGTGGTGGGTGGAGGGTCGAGTGGGGTTGTGGTTTCCAGAGGTGTGGTGGTGGGCTCTGGAGTAGTGGGTGGGGTCATTGAAGGGGTAGTCATAACAAAGGCTTCGGTCGTTATGGCAACCTCAGTGGTCGAGAGGGTTGTTGTTGTCGCGGGTGTGGAGGTGGTGTACGTGTGCGCGTCAAAGTCTTTTATTGTTTGAGGAGCAGACGTGGGGAGCGAAAACTTTAGACGAACATAGGACACAACAGAAAGAATGAGGGGAAAAAAAGAAATAAAAAGCAACTGAAATAAATTAATATCAACTCAAATCCATAAACAATGGTGCTGAATTAAACACATTATAAATCATAAAACACACAAGCAAGCGTTATGTGTACTGCCATTTAAAAGTCTGGGGATGGTAAGATTTTATGTTTTTGAAAGAAGTTATGATCACAAAGCTGCATTTATTTAATTCAAAAATACAGTAAAAACAGTAACACTGAGAAACATTATTATAATTTAAAGTGATAGTTTTCTATTTGACTATATTTTAAAATGTCATTTATTCCTGTGATGCAAAGCTGAATTTCCAGCATCATTACTCCAGTCTTCAGTGTCACATGATCCTTCAGAAATCATTCTGATATGCTGATTTGGAAATATTTCTTATAATAATCAAGGTTAAAAACAATGGTTTTGCTTAATATTTTTGTTGAAACTTACTTTTCCCCCAAGATTCTCTGATGAATACAAAGTTCAAAAGAACAGCTTTTATTTAATAGAAATCTTTTGTAACAATGCATTCTTGCTAAAAAAAAAAAAACCTATTAAATTATTTAAAAAAGTCTTACTAACTCCAAACTTTTAAATGGCAGTTTATATGAACCAAAAACAGTTATTCAAAGCAAAAAGGAGCCAAAAACACATACAGTGGGGTCTAAAAGTCTGAGACTATACTAAAAACTGTGATTTAAAACTTTAATTAATAGAAATAAATCTTTTGGGAAAAAAAGAAAAGAAATTACAAATTTAATAAGAAACATTTTACAATTTCATATTCTACTATTTCTAGTTCACTAATCAAATTTGTAACAAAATGGGGACAAAATCAAATACTTTTTTCTAATTAAACTTTCATTATGTAAACAAAAACGTTTATTTTGGATGCGATTAATCGTTTGACAGCACTAATATATATATATAAAAACTATTGTTTTAAAATATACACATGCACTTTCACTGTTGGTCTCATACTTTTGGGCTCCACTATAATGGCACAGCATGTCAAACTCACAGATACGACCTCACATATCAACAAAAACTTACATGTTGGTTGTAGATGATGGCACCACGGTCACACATGGACCGGTGAGTGCACACATGCTGGTGGACGCACCAGTTACATTTCCAGCGGCTGTTCACACAGCCCCTACACCTAAAAACAGAGCGAGACAGAACATAATGGACCAAAAGTTTAGAAGTGACTGCATAAATTAAACCCATCTACACCCCTCTGAGCATTTAGATGAAGACAGCAAAGCAGCCCAGCATCCAAAATAGCTGAGCTCTAGAATTACACATGACTCCCCTAAACTCATCAAACAACACAGAGCTGAGTTCACAGCTTTCCCACATCGCAAATCAAAACAGCATCAGGGAGAGCCGCCCCATCAGCGGCTGTCTGCAGGGGTGTATGGGTAAGGGAGGATGGTCAGGGCGGAGGAATGGTGGAATGTGGGAAACAGCTGTTAAATCATCAGGGATGTGTTAGTGAGGTCCGGAGAGTGAGACAGCTGCCCTGCCCCTCTCACGCCTCTGGGACATTCTTCAACGCATGACAGCCGCTCACCAATGGATGTTTTAATATTGCTCTTGGATGATGATGGCATGACGCTAAAAGTGGTTAACAATTTTCCACTTTACAATATTGTTAACATTAGTTAACATTGTCTTGTATTTTTGTGATTGCTTTATTCATGTGGCATTAAAATGCAGGAGAGTCCATGTGACTTACGGGCTGGTGCCAGAGAGCTGCTGCACCACAGAGCAGTCATAGAAGGTGAAGTCTGCGAGAGCTATGGTGACCGTCCGAAAGCGCAGGGACAGCGTGACGGACACACAATCTGTTATAGAGGACAAACATGAGAGGAGTCTGGGTCAAATGGTTAAACGGATATTATGGCACTGGAACATCAGGTCACACATAACCTAAAAAATAACTAAAAAATTATAAGATGAAGTTAAATGCACCATCCACAGCTTTTTTCGTCATTCATGTAATATCATTAACGTTTCAGTGGAATGCTTCCATGGAAGCGTAATGATGCGGAAAAACCAACAGAGGAAGTGAAACCGGAACATGACTATTATAGAATTCCAGAGTGATCAACTACTGTTCAAATGTTTGGTTTTGGTAGCATTTTTCTGATGTTTTTGAAATAAGTCTCTTGTACTCATTAAGGCTGCATTTATTTGATTAAAAATTTAATGAAAGTTGTAATTTCGTGAAAAATTATTACAATTTAAACAAACTGTTTTCTATTTCAATATATTTTAAAATCTAATTTATTCCTGTGATGCAAAGCTGAATTTCCAGCATCATTACTCCAGTCTTCAGTGCCACATGATCCTTCAGAAATCACTCTAATATGTGGATTTACTGCTCAAGAAACATTTCTTATTATTATCAATGCTAAAAACAGTTGTGCTGCTTCATATTTTTGTTGAAACCTTGATACGGTACATGTTTTTCAGGTTTATTTGATGAATAGAAACTTCAAAAGAACAGTATTTATTTGAAACAGACATTTTTTGTAAAATTATAAATGTCTTTACAGTCACTTTTTGATTAATTAAAGCACTATTGTTATTATTATTTTAAAATATTATTGAGTGGTCACTCTAAATTGTGAGAAAATGTCACATTGACAATCATGGGAAAACAAAGATTTCCTCACTCAAAAATGGATACACACACACACATCGCAAATAGTCTCTTCCACATGCAAACCAGTTCCTTAAGGCCAGTTTTTAAGTCGTCTCACAGAAAATGATTCAAACATGTCATGTCAAACATCATTAGCATGTGGGTTTTCTTACCCTCTCCCTGTGGCACCGGTGGAAGTCTGTGGGCCTCAGGAGTGGCACAGGTGACTGTGGTTCCCTGGACCGAAGCAGCTGTTTCAGTGTCTTCAAAGAAACACGAGTACATGTCACCCTCTGACAGACTGGGCAAACCCGGGACATTCACAGCAATCTAATCACACACACACATACATACACACACAAAAGAAACATATTAACCATGGTTATAATCTCACAAACATTGTCCAGTAACTCAGAACATATTTTTTGTTTCAATAAGCTTTATAGCTTTGATTAATTCATTAGAAAAACATCCCTTACGGAAAAGTTAAATAAAAATGACAATGATTGGGGAAAAAGCTTTTAAGCATTATAAATGATGCAAGATACTGTGTGAATTATCCCATTAGGGAGTGCAGTGGCAGAGTCTGCTAGCTTAGGGACTAATTACTGTAGCTTGCTAACCATATGCTAACTGAGACAACGATGCAGTAATTTGATTAAAAGTTACAATACAGAAATGTATAATTTTACAAAAGATTGCTATTTCAAATAAACGCTGTTCTTTTGAACTTTCTATTCATTAAATAATCCTGAAAAAATGCATCAGTTTCCAACAAAAATATTACGCAGGACAACTGTTTTCAACATTGATAATACTAATAGACGTTTGCTGAGTAGCAACTCAGCATATTAGAATGATTTCTAAAGGATAATGTGATGCTGAAAATTCAGCTTTGCATCACAGAAATAAATTACATTTCAACATACATTACAAAAGAAAGCAGTTATTTTAAACTGCATTAGCATTACATACTGTAATATTACTGTTTTTACTGTATTTTTAACCTTGATGTTCTTTAAAAAAACATACAAAATCTTACATCTTAGTGAATGAAAGATATTAACTGAAATATAGCAGGGTTTACTTTTAGGCATTATGGTTGAAGGAGGACTGAATTTTGATGGTGCTCTAAATTTCCCACTTTATCACAATTTCTGACTGAATGACTTTATACCTGTTTCTGTTCTCCAAGGCTGGCGTTATATTGGCTCAGTGACTCCAGTCTCAAGCACTGCTGCTGCTCATCAAAACTCCACAGCCAGTGACCTTCGACCGAGCCCAGCCGACAGTCTGAACGCATCCCACACCTGGAGGAGCGAGGAGAAAAACAGACCAGACAGGAGGATGAGTAAGATAACGGACAGACAGAGAGAAATACTCCTAAAATAAACTGAAAATTGCAGTCCAAAGCAGGAATTACAAGATGAAACTCACCGGCCATCAAGAACACACCAACCGCAGTATGGGTCCTTCACTGCCAGACAGGAAGTGCAATCAGTGTGCTTGTCACACTCTGCCACAGGCCTCTTCTCCACCTGACCACACGGCACAGCAGGAGAAATCACTTATTCACACATCACACACGGACACAGCAATGGCCCAGAGTTTCCACATTTTTTGTGCTGATTGTGAGTGGAAATTTTGCAGCATGTTATTTGAATATCATACAAATTATTCAACTAGAGTGACCACACATCCTTAAAGTTGTCTTCCATCACTATTTTACTGTGTTTCTGGTGTATTGCTATTATGTATTTCCTGATCTAGCTGAGTGGGCGTGGAAATAAGTGCGAACCTGAGGGGAAGCGCTCATTTTAGCTAATTTATGGAAATGTTTGTGCGAATTAGAGATGTAACGGTATGAACTTTTCTTATCACGATTGATAATTTAGTGACCTAAATTTTCACAGTTATCAGTATAATCACGGTGTTGTTAAACTGAGCTGGAAATGTTCAAAATGTACTGACCTTATAAATCGTTTCACCACGTTTTGTATTCAAAATCCGCAAACAATGAATAAAATTACTTTTTGTTTGCATAAACACTATAAAACAGGCTGAATGTAAATGTAACTGTAAATCCACGCTCTGACACTAGGTGGCGCTTATGGAACAGCAGAATTAGAGCTGTTTCCCGTAATCTCTGTGAACAAAGCAGCATTGCGATTAAGAACATTACTTTAGGCATTACATTGAGTGAAGATGAAAAACAAAATGCCATCGAATCTTTTCTGAAGACAGTCAGAACCTTCAAAGGTACATTCATATAATTAATTCATTCGTATATTCGTTTTTGTATAATTCCCTTAGCACTCTTTTAAAACTTCTCAGCTTTTCCGTCATGTTTTCACACAAAACGAAACTATTTTGAAACCGTTATTTAAAACTTTCCTATATGCTGGACAGTATTTATTTACCCTGAGTTGTTCAAATCGCGGTAATCGAATACGGTTTTAATGATAATTAAAATATGAAACTGTAATACTAACCGTGGGGAATTTTATCTTGATTTAGCATGATTTAGATCGTCAAACCGGTAATCTTTCCATCCCTAGTGCAAATATGCTTTGATTTATCCATCTTCTTTTTATTGTTATTTGTATTTATTTACATAACTCTTGTTACTTATTTTCACGTATAAATCATATTGTGAGACAAGACTTTATTTTATAAAAAAACACGATATGTTCCAATTAGCAAAGTGGGAAAAATGTGCATTTAAGATGGCTGTCACTAGCAGTAGGATGGAATAAGAGCTCGTTTACAAGATTGTGATGCTGTGTAAGCATAGAAAACTCCAGCCTCAGTGTTGTGGAGGGGAGTTAGTGCTGTTTGAAGTACTTAGCAGTTCTAGTTTTAGACTGCTTTTATCAGCAATCTCTGTTTTAAGATCTTAAACATATTTAGTCTCACATTTTGCACATCTGTTTGAAATAAACAACCTTTTGGACTCCAACTTCGCTCCTATGATGTTGATCCTCTTTTGTGACTGTTTGGGTCGTTATCACAGTCCTCTTTTTCCAAATTGCCTAAAACGCTATTGGTCAAGCAAGTTTTCCATCATTAACTTTAGCAAGTATGAAAACAACAGGAAAACAAAGCCAAAACCAAGACATTTTATGCAATTTAGAAATCTCGAGCAGGACTAGGGTTGCAGAAAAATTGAAAATTTCCAGTTAATTTGAGAAACATTCCAGAAATTTGGTCATTATAGACTAAATTTGCTTTGTTTTGGTCATTTTCAAAAATCAGCCAAAACTAAAATGATTTTTAAACATACTTAATTATCCTATAATTATAACAAATACAGTTTTACAGTTTTTATAAGTACATTTATACGTGTGCGATACATCAGAACAATTGCAAAAGCAAAAACAAAACAAAAAAAACCCTAAAAGGTGATTACCAGTAACAGCAGATTAAATATACAAATAAAAAATTATTAAATAAATAAAAATACAAATGTCATGCTATTGGCCAACTACAAGACCTATACTATCAGTCACAAGTTTGGAATAATTACGATAGATTTTTAAAATGTTTTTGAAAGACATCTCTTATTCTCACTAGGGCTGCATTTATTTAATTAAAAATACAATATTGTAAAATATTTTTTGAAATAAATGCTATCTAATTGAATGTATTTTAAAATGTAATTTATTCCTGTGATCAAAGCTGAATTTTCAGCAGCATTACTCCAGTCTTCAGTGTAACGTCTGGACCAATCAAAAACACAATTTGTCATTTGATTTAACAAATCAGTTATTTATTAGATTAACAAGTCGTCACAGATCCCTCACCCAATAAACTGGGTGCAAGGATGTCTGCGAACAACCACATGCCATTGGTTACCATGGCAGCCACGACACCTTTGCTAGACCAGATACATTTACGACCTAATGGCATGCTGAGAATTTCCCCTCTCACTACATTTTCCATTGGAAATCCAAAGTGCACAGTAAAAATGGACTCTTCTCTAATTAATTAATAGGAAAACCTTTCTTTGAATGAACACACATATCCTTCAGGTTATTGTGTATGTTGTCGTTATATTGTATACGGTTTATGCCGGCTTGTGACGGAACCACTCGCTTCTGTCATCTTACCTATATGTAATTCTACCATGTTTAGTATCTATGAAGATACATGAGCTGATTCGCTACATCAGTGTCACATGATCCTTCAGAAATCATTCTAATATGCTGATTTACTGCTCAATTATTAATTATTTAATAATTAATTATTAATATGTTGCATTAATTTTGCAATTATTTGATATTATGAACTATTATTACAATTTAAATTCACAATACAGCCTTGGTGAACATAAGAGACTTTCAAATTTTTTTTTATTATTATTTTTGACTTGTAGTGTACTAATGACATGATGTTTGAACTCACAGAATGGCTGGTCATGATGTAGACGTGTCTATGGGTGGAATCCAGCAGTAAGTCACTGTTGATGACCAAACCAGGTTGGATGAGAAGGGTGGAGTACTTCTTCACCTCTCCTGAGTTACCCAGGAACACCTAACATGAGATCAAAAATAAATAAATAAATATAGAGGTTTCAATAAGTAACCTGACAACGGCTCCTAAGAACTTCCTCAAGGTTTAATTGAATATTTAGGCTTATAAAACTACATCAGTTGCAACAGGACACCTTGGAGACACGAGGAGAGCTGGATGTGGACAGGTCTAACTAAAAGTGCTGAAAGTGTCTGCTGCAATGGTTTAGCACTAGAGCCCTTCAAAGTCTCATTAAAGGAAAACGACGTACAAGGATCTGAGAGAGGTGCCTAATGCCTCTTGAATTCTATCATGACTGGGGTTGATTTCAGCAAACCAGATTAGAAGAGTGAGAATCCCATCAGAAGAGCAGGTATCCTGCTTAAGAGTCTCAGACACCTTACACCGCGAGCTGCTCACGCACTCCACCCAGTCAGGTTTGTGTTTTAACTGGATTAGCATTGACAAACTGTCGGCCACAGTCTACTGCAGGAGGAATCACGCATTGCAACATTATCGTATCATGCAAGACTGAATAGCTGTGTAGATGTAGGGTTAGAGGAGGTGTACCTGCATGTGTGTTTGTGAGGGAAAATACAAATGTATATGTGATTCAGCAGCTAGCTTTTTTCAGTTCATTTCAACTAAAATGATCTTTCATCTATGTTAAAGGGCTGGTTCACCCAAAAATTAGTCTTCTGTCATAATTTAATCACACATGTTTAGTTATGCTGTTGCTCACCCATATCTAGCAGAATGTGTAAGCTGCTGTTTTCCATTATAGATTTTTATTTTTATACATACATTTATATGATTTTATGAGCTGATTTTTTTTATGAATAATGTATGTATGTGTTAGTTATAATATACTTTCTACATTACAATAAACATTTTAATATTGCTAAATATTGATTCATTAAAAATAAACTTCACATATACATATGTATATATTAGTGCTGTCAAATGATTAATCGTGATTAATCGCATCCAAGATCAATGTTTTTTATTTACATAATATATGTGCGTGTACTGTGCATATTTATTATGTATATATAAACACACACACATGCATGTGTATATTTAAGAAAAATATGTTGAGTTTATATACGTATATTAGTGCTGTCAAATGATTAATCGTGATTAATCGCATCCAAGATCAATGTTTTTTATTTACATAATATATGTGCGGTGGCTGACTAAATACTTTTTTTCCCCACTGTATATAATATAAATGATATGAATATAAATATATACACATGCAAATATATGTAATTTTTTTCAAAATATATAGGTGTATGCATGTGTATTTATATATCCATAATACATATACACAGTGTACACATGTATTATGTAAACAAAAACTTTTATTTTGGATGCGATTAATCTTTTGACAGCACTAGTATATAAATATATATATATATATTATACCTGTATATATATATATATATATATATATATATATATGTGTGTGTGTGTATGTAAATATATTTATAGACACATTTACAGTATGTAAATATTTTATTATTTCCATTCTATTCTTAAGTGGGTTCCATTCAGACCCATCTGTTTGCAGTGCACTGTGAGATTAACGTAATGTTAACTAGGGATGCGCCGATACCGATAACCAATAATTCTTTATTTTTGACAGCCGATAACCGATATGTTGGCCGAAAAATCTATATCCAATATATGTGTGTGTGTGTGAAAGAAGAGAAATAAATATATATATAAATATATATATATATATATATATATTGTGTGAACGGTTTTATTTTCATATTTCACTTCTCCCTGCCTACATATATTTATATAAAATATACTTTCTATTTATATAACAGTACATCTCATTTCTGTTAGCTACACTTTAAAACCTTATGCATATTGTGATGACGCCTATTCAAAAATGTTGCCTAAATGCATAACTTGTCTTCCACTGTAAAAATGTCACACATGCTTGTGAACAATGACACTGACTTGCCAAAATGTGTCAAAACAGCAGAGAACAGTGGATGGCTGTCAAAGGGAGGCTTGGGTCGGGCAATGTCGTTCAGATTTAACCAAACACTTAGGTTTAACCTTTGCCCACTGTGGCATGCAAATCCAGTCAGTGCAAGGCCTAGACGCAACTTGGCCTGTGTTTAAATTTCAGCTCACGAGCACTTTGAATTTACAAGCGGTGTCAAACTGAGTCTCCGGTGGTCTCTGAGCAATCACTATCCCTGCAAATACAGTGTTTCATATAGCGTGGTTTGTGGTGAAGTCTGCTCTGCGGTCCCACTGAGGAAACACAGAAAGCCTTAGGTATGCTGTTTCAGCACTATGTTGAGATATGACACATTCACCCTGCAGGCGAAATCTCTTTCCATCTGCTGAAGTAGACGGATAAGAAATTACCATATTAAGTGGACAAATATTTCCCTAGTGGTTTACTATAAATCATAAATAAATTGTTTTAGAAATGACCAGTCAAACGGCTAATTTTCATGTCACATACCTTATGCAAATTGCCTTTGGAGTCACCCAAGAAAACAATAGTGTGTCCCTCCTTTACACTAACGGCGACAGCAGTGAGACGGGCGGCTGGGCTGTCCAATACGGCTTTAGCTTCAACCGGCTCCCGGCTCGTCATTGGACTCGGGGTGTGGTCCGAGCCACAGGGATAAGCGTTCAGGGTGTTCTGCGGGAGACAAAAACAAGTTTTCGTGACTTTGGTTTTGGCAAAACCTTTGTGACCTAATCCAGTTTCATGTTGTGTAATAATCTCTCCGTTTTTTTTGTACCGTAAGGGTTTAGTTCTCAGTCTATAGCCTCAAGGCTGTCAAATCCTCTTAGTTGAGAAAGCCAGATTAGATGAAGTTTATCTTGGTCTCACACTAGGATGGCAAGGCTGCTCCTTTCTTTGAGACTAACGCTATCAAATCTGCTCCAGCAGTCTTTGATAAAATCTAGCTTGCATGTCATGCCATGCTCCCTCATTATCAGAAGTGATCTGTTTGTGTACCAGACTAAAGAACATATGGGGGATCGGGAAAATGTGTTTCAGTGTTTGAGGATTTGCAAGAAACACAAAGAATGCTGTATTTGGGTGGCGGTGTTTGTCTGTGGATCAGTAACATCCAACTTAAAGGGATTGTTCACGCAAAACGTCTGTCATCACTTATTCAACCTCATGTTGAAAAAACCATATGACGTTCTTTTTTCGGTGGAACATAGAAAGAGATGTTTTGAAGAATGTTCAAGCTGTTCTTTTCCAGTCAATGAAAGTGGATGGAGACCAGGGTCAGTCAAACTCCAAAACAGAAAAAAGGACCATAAAGGATCATTAAAAGTACTTTGACTTGTGCCATATATTTAATGTCCTAAGTCATATTTACAGTAAGTAATTATTTTAGCAAAAGCAAAAATGAAGTTGCCACAATAACAAGAAAGCTACATTAAGAATCTGGTAAATAACATCTCATATTTAATTTCTGGAGAATGAGCATCCATCCCAATTCAATTTCATTTTATTTAAAAGAGCAGCATGAACATTCTGCTAAATATCTCTTTTAGCATTCCACAAAAGAAATAAAGTCATATGGGTTTATACATTTAGCATTCCACAAAAGAAATAAAGTCATATGGGTTTATACAACATGTTGATGAGTAAATGATGACAGAATGTGCATTTTTAGCTAAACTATCCCTTTAACAGGCAATTCTCTCCTTACAATAAGTCTTCTAGACATCTAACCCTCCTCAGACTTGTATTTCTCCTTCCTACCCTTTTTTCTAGCAGACATCATTAGTAGTTTGAGCTTGGGGTTTATTGATCCGAATAACCCTGTTTAGGACTGAGCAGGCCGGGTTCTGGATGCTGAATAGGCAAATATATGGAGGTCATGAGGAGGTTGTTCGCCTGTGAGCCCACATCCTTGAGTTCTTTGATTTGTCTTAAGATCTTGTTAGGACTAATGCTCAAAACATAATTCACTCAGATCATGGCAGGCAGAATCGTATGAGTTAAAGCAATTTGCCTGAGAATTAATGATGAGCAATGCATCTAAATTAGGATAAATGTTAGTTTAAATACACCGTTGGAGGAAAATTATGCGGTCCAGTTCCCTAGAGTTACGTTGTGGGCAGCCTTTCCCCATTTTCCCATGCTTTTCAAACAAAGTTAAACTACTATGATGATTATGTGGAAACGGTTGACCTCAAAACCTAATTATATGGATAATTTATAAGTATAATGTTTCTTTCAATGTGAAGACAGTGTACAAGTGAACAGCATCTATCAAATATTCCTGTAAAATGAACACTTTAAGACTGTGTCATTATCAATTGTGACAAAACAAATACATTTCTAGCATCAATAAAAAAAGTTTAACCTCTACAAGGTTTTTCTAACCCGCTTATTTATGCTCAGGCTCAGGCCACTTTTAACACTGGATTACAATTTTTGCCTAACACCATATAACAAGTATACAGTGTCTATACTAACAATGTCTAAAAGCATCACATCACAGAAGAATTCTGTCATTTTTGTCGTTTTTATTTATTTATTTTTGAAAATTGTGTATGTAATTTCTACCACGTCTCACATGACAGTGTCATATGTGTTGGAAATTACATTTTGGAATAACATAAAATTCCTGACTCCTTTGTCTTGCTAAAACTAATTTCATGACTAGGCATGGGTGGTATGATATTTTTTTAAATAACAAAGATAAAATAAAATATGCATAACTGTACTGTGATATCCAATGTTATAATTAAATAAAATTACTCATATTTATAAATATGATTTTGATCATATTGCCCACCTCTAATTCAAACTAACATTTTATGTATCCTAAAAATGTGCAATTATATTTACATCGATTTTTCTTGTTTTCTTCATATACATCATGTCATATTTCATCTTAAGCATTTAAATGACCCTGTTGTCTCCAAGTACAACCAAGTACACTAATGCTTTTGAAAAAAAAAAAAAGTGATAGCGGGCAAAACTGTTCGGTGTTTGAAATGATGTCCACATAACTGTGGGACAGCTGTAATATTTTAGAAATTGATAGAAATCTGTTTCACAAAATAAACATCAAAAGATTTATTTTTAAAATTTAAAAATAATTTTATATTGAAGTAGTGATGAAATGGAAGTAGTGGCACATCTTTTCATCTGTATTTTGATATAAATGCAGGTAAAACATATTTCTGGAAAACAGTGGGCCTTGCTTTGGCTGTTGACTGGATGTTGAGATTTGGGAGTGAGAACTCAAAATTGAATGCAGATGTAGGTGAGCCTGCAGAGTCTGTGTTTAAGCAAACTAAATTATACATTTTTAAATGAAACATATACTGTACATGTTTGAATCTTTTACAATAAGATCTATAACTTGCATTTAAAAAGATAGATAGCGTGAATTTTCATTTCATGCTGAAAAAATTTCCATTAACTTGGAACAGCTTAAAGGATACATCTTAAAGGGATAGTTCTAACCCAAAAATGAAAATTATGTCATTAATTGCTCACCCTCTTGTCGTTTCAAACCCATAAGACCTTCGTTCATCTTCAGAACACACATCTTAATTTGTGTTCTGAAGATGACCTTCGTTCATCTTCAGAACACAAATTAAGATGTTTTTGATGAAATACGAGAGCTTTCTGACCCTGCATAGACAGCAATGCAACTGACACGTTCACTGCAAAAAAATGCTTTTCTAGCTTAGATCTTTTGTCTTGTTTCCAGCCAAAATATCAGACAGAAAACAAGATTATTTTTCTTACCCCATTGGCAGATTATTTTGCTTGTTTCAAGCAAAAACTCACTTAATTTTGACTTGTTTTTTCTGAAAACAAGACAATAATTTTTACTTGTCTAGAAAATCCTTCTTGATTTAAGAATTTTTAGATATTTTGGCTGGAAACAAGACAAAAGATCTAAGCTAGAAAAGCATTTTTTGCAGTGTTCAAGGCCCAGAAAGGTGGTAAAGACATGTTCTTGTTAAATTAAAATAGTCCATGTGACATCAGTGGTTCAACCGTAATTTTATAAAGCTATGAGAATACTTTTTGTGTGCAAAGAAAACAAAAATAACGACTTTATTCAACAATTTCTTCTCTTGCATGTCAGTCTTCAACGCGTGTTCATGAGAGTATCATGATGCATACGTGTGCATTCCTCTGCTTGTAAACAAGGCGCAGCACATCCGGGTTCTACGTCAGAACGCCGGCTCCTGCGTCAGTAGCATCACACGCATGTGTCGTTGTACTCTTATGAATGTGCAGCAGAGACTGACATGCAAGAGAAGAAATTGTTGAATAAAGTCATGGTGAAGTTTTCTGATGACTTCTGCACAAAAAGTATTCTAGTAGCTTCATAAAATTAAGGTTGAACCACTGATGTCACATGAACTATTTTAACGATGTCCTTACTATGTTTCTGGGCCTTGAACGTGGTAGTTTCATTGCGGTCTATGCAGGGTCAGAAAGCTCTCAGATTTCACCAAAAATATCTTAAATTGTGTTCTGAAGATAAATGAAGGTCTAACAGGTTTGGAACGACATGAGAGTGAGTAATTAATGACAGAATTTTCATTTTTGGGTGAACTTTAAAAGAATATTTAAAACTCTCTATGTATTTACTCACCGTAGGCAGGTTGGCACAGTTGGATTTAACATCATACTCAATGTATGCCACCTTGTAGCCATCTTTCACTCCGTATTGCGTGTAGCACAGATCTCGTGTAGCATCAATACCGCGGTCCACTTCATCCAGAGAGTACACACACAATGCAGATTCCTCACCGGGTCCATTAGCAGCACTAACCGCCGTAGAAAAGACTCCCATCAAAACCTGCGAGCCTCCAGATTCCTCACCGCCCACCTGCGCCCCCTGGAGGAAATTGTAGTTCCTTCCTGTTGAGCCCGAGTGACACATTAGCGGTACCTCAACGTAGGAGTAATATGCTTGATCGTCCAAACACACCCGTGCCACGTACGTACGATATTCCCTCGATGCAGCTTTCAGGTCGCGTCTATAGAACAAAAAGTAGACGTGATTGCGTCGCGCAAAGGTTGCGACAAAATTGTGATCGTACTCTGAGAGGCGCCCGGCTACAGCGAGCTTAGCGGTTTCCTCATAGGAGAACACCGGCTCTGTCGAAAGTTGGCGAGTGGAGACTGGCGGGTGACTGCTGGTGTAGCCTCGTCCCACATAAAGGACAGGATCTTTGTCTTGCGGTCGCACCACGAGCCCAACCGTTGACGACGTAGGGTCGTTAGCCGCCACATATTGCGTATCAACAGGTCTCTCGGCAGAGAAGAGGACTTCGTTCACATTGGCTAGGCTGCGTTTCTGGCAGGTGCCCTGGTGTACGCTGCCACAGGTGATGAGCTGGAGGGAATATGGATCCACTAGCAGAAGCTTGTTGTGATTGTTAACGAGCCCAGCCTGAGGGCAGTTCTCCAGGGTAACTGGAGGCAGACAGTCCTTGCTGTCTCTCACGGGGCCGGTTCTCTCATCCACTTCAAGACGGAGGCCATCAAGGCCAGCGAGCTGGAACAGATGGTCCCGGGCCCCCACGTAGACCGTTCCTATGCTGGGGTCAGGGTGCAATGCCAGGTGCTGGAAGACCGAGTCATTGGAGGAGAAGCGAGGGTAACTGCTGTGGACCCCCAGAACACCCAGGATGAGGGACTGAAGCAGGGTCAAGACGAGGGCCATCCCACACTGCACTGCAAAAGCACTGATCGCATGTGACACGACTTAGTATTAGCTCACAGAACAGAGCCAAACATAGTAGAGCTAATCAAAAACATGTTAGGAATAATTACATTTAAGGAATTAGTATTATTAATTCCTAACAATTATAATAATTAGTATAATAAAGAATAATTTTCAGTTTTTTTTTATTTAGTTACATTAGACAGGGCCTGTCATGAACAAAGCAAAAGAATAAGTCCTAAAAAAATAAAATAACATAAGTACTTAATAAAAAAAATGGAAATACTTTGGCATTTTGATATATACCAAAGTACTAGAGGTCGACAGTGGATTTTACCAATAACCAGGTTGGACCACACTTACCAATAACCAGGTTGGACCACACTTACCAATAACCAATTAATCAACCAGTAGTTTTTGGATACTTAATGAAAGCCAACATAATAGAAAAATAGTGCTGTACTTTATTACAAAATTAAAAAGGACTGAACCATGAAAACGTACTGTACTTTTTAAGTGAAATATATAAATTCATGTTAGTTCATTGTGCATTAACTAATGTTAACAGATAAAACTGTAAAATGTAAAAATGTATTAGTTAATGTTCTACATAATCTAACAGTAACAATGAGCAATACTTCTCCAGCAACTGGTTATGGGTGCCGATTAATCAGCTAAACTGATCGGTTGACCTTTACACAAAAGTGAATGGTATTCTGCATTATACCATATTCATTCAAAATATTCATTTTAATCATGCATATTAATTTAAATGGTACTTTGAAATATTATCAAATACATGTGTATATATCAAATAAATAAAAATATTTACAATGTAAGTTTAAATGTATAAATAAACAGTATTGTAGTATTTTTGTTTTGTTGTTTTTTGGACATGGTACCATGGTATTGGTAATATAACCTTAAATGTGTAGCATGTTTTTGTAAGTATTTAATTTTTCCGGAAAATGTCAGATTTTTGATTTCCGGTATTTGTTTTTAAAGATACGAGACAGAGTGATTTCGGGTTTATGTAGATGTATTTGGAGCATGATTTGTTGATTATGTATTGGTCCTCAACATATTATTGACCGATCAGCTTTCTTACATTCAAAATCGCTCTCGTAGATTGGTGCAACTGCTTAACCCACTCTCGCCACTCTTTTGTGAGCAGCGGAACGTTTGGAGAGAGTGTAATAATACCAGAAATACCAGAAATAATACCAAATAAAGTGAAATATTATAATGTATAAACATTACAAACACTATAATCATAGCCTAGTTCCCCTCACTCCAAAACAAATAATTTAAATGTAACGGTATGCAGAACAGATCAAGAATGAAAAAAAAATATATAAAGCTAAAGAAACCAAAACAAAGAGAAACGGAAAGTATCGTTGGGCTCACGTACCTCTCTCATTCGGCACAAATCCAATGTTTCCATATTCGCAATATATTTCAATGTTAAACTATTATTTATAATGTAGACTAGGCTTCATGCGCGTTCGCATATTGACAGAAAAATCATCCTCTTCACATGTGCAAAAATGCGCTTGGCATTACAGCAGCTGTAGACCGGTTATACTACAGACTCTTTAAATTGATATGTTTGGCTGACTGTATTTTATTTTGATAATGAACAGACTGCGATGGCAAGTTTGAATTGCTATAATATGTGGTGTGTGCGCGAGGCGCCGGCGCAATCAAACAGCTGACACATTAAATACTCCATTTTTGGTCATACAGATAAGAGTAAGACAACCTGCGGGTGTCCAAAAAATTATAATAATAATAAAAAAACGAACACTAGCTTCTCTGTTCTTTTTCTATTCTATCTGTTTTCTTTTTATTTATTAGGCCTATATAATAAAAAAAAAAAACCTTGCTACGTGTTAAGCTGAGCACTTGCGTATCATTGCTCTTTTGTTCATTTTGATTGCTTCCATTTTCCTCATTTGTTAGTCGCTTTGGATAAAAGCGTTTGCTAAATGTAAATGTAAATGCTTACTTTTATTTTTGCACACTCGCAATAAAAAGAACATTTGTGTTTTTGTAATTAAGCAAACAAACAGGATGCGCGTTCTGTCATCTCGGTTCTCGGTTTCCTTTCCGTGAACTTTTTTTCGGATCGCTGCGCCTCACATCTGTTTTATATCTGTTCATTATTTATGTCAGATATATTTAGCATATTTATACCTTTTCTATATAGATTATGATTGCATTTTATTTTTATGGAAACAAATTTTGTTATTTTTAATGTAACTTACATATATTTGCCTTAAATCATCCTGGCGACCCATTTTTGATCCAGGGTTGGAAAACCTAGGCTGTATAGTTAGATCCATACAGAAACTTGTGAACGATGCTCTTATAGTTGTGTCATTACCGTTTAGTGACGTCATTGAATGTTTCCGGGAAAACTGAATTTGTATTGTCAGTGTCGGTCACGGCGCCTTTTAACTGCTGATTTGGAGCCGGTAATGTTTCATTTACAAATTAAGCACTGGCAGTGTTACCAAGGTAAATTTCCAAAAGTATGGTATTATCGTGGTGCATGTAAAATAATAAAATAAAAATCAATAAATAAATAATGCATTACCATTTTTGTACATGTACAAAAATCAATCAATCAATCAATCAATCAGTCAGTTAATCAATCAAGCAATCAATAAATCAATAAATAAACTGAAAACTAGATATTCAGTTGGTACAATGCCCAAATAACACTAATAAGGTACTTAAAAAAAGAATACCACAGTAGTACCATGTTATATGTACAAAAGCATGATAACACAATGCATTTACTAGAGGATACTTATATACAGTAGTCAACATTTGAAGTGGATCAAAAAAGATCATCAAAGTTGTCCTAAGACAAGAATTAATTTAGGTTTTAGGTTTTAGGACAACTTTGATGAAAGGTTTTGATCCACTTCAAATGTTGACTACTGTACAATAAAGTGGTCTATTATATAAATGAATTATCACTTTGACATAGGGTAACAATCTTCAGACACGGCCTGTAAAAACCCTTATTTAAGAAATATGATGGGAAAATAGCACACATACCATCTGTCAGACATATAATGTTCGGGAGGCTGCTGTCCTCTTGGTTATCCAGTGGCATAGCACATGCCTGTGGAGACAGTCTGTGAGGGTAGAAAAACATGCCGATTAGCTCTTACACAGAGCGGCATTGAGCAATCTGAAGAGAGGAGGCTTAATGCCATTGTGGCTCATGGGAGTCACAGCTGTTGAGCTGAGCAATCCTTCCCTGACAGGAAATTGGATGATATAGGCCCTAAGTCACCATCAAAGCCCTAATGCATTGCTCTGCAGTAGCAGATTGGCAGAGATCCTGTACTCTGAGGAGGCAAACTGTCGATGATGTTTTATATGAATTAGATGTGATTAATAAGAAGCCATTACAGGGTAGTAGTCTCCGCTTTCTTGAGGCAATTCAAGCTGACCTAAACAATCAATAAGATAAAAAGTGAAATAATGTGATTTGATTACTTATGCTCAGAATCACCCCTGATTCTCCATTTCCCTAAGTGGAGCACCTTTCGTTCATTTCCCATATTCACTCGTCTACTACTGACCTCTTTCTCCAAGTCAGCATTGAATAAATGGGCACAGTTTAAATGCACAGTATAGGGACACTCACAAAACTGACTGCGGGCCAATGAATAAGAGGATTGTAGGGTCTTATTAATTATGACATGTTGGCCTTGCTCAGTTACCTCTTTTTGGTTTGGCCACTTCATGCTAAAAAATTATCTGTGTGATAAATGATTAACCAGTAATGACTATGCAGCAACTCTGGAGTATAATCTACCAACTTTGAAACTGTACTTTCTGTACTGAATGATTTTTAAATAATAGTGGGAGGTTGAATCAAAAGGAATGAAACAATCCAGGTTCAGATTCCTTTTAAAGATTCTTGTTCTGCAATGGTTCCATTAACGATTCTTTTGAAATTGAGGAAGCATTTGAACAACAGAATGTGACATCAGTGGTACTCTTGTGAATCTGCACTGACGACTGACACAGAAGAGAAGAAATTGTTGAATAGAGTTGTTATTTTTGTTTTCTTTGTGCACAAAAAGTATTCTTGTAGCTTCATAACATTTAGGTTGAACCACTGATGTCACATGAACTATTTTAACGATGTCCTTACTAACTTTATGGGCCTTGAACGTGGTGGTATTCCGTATTGCATGATAGTACTGCATGTAGCCTATTTACTGAAAAGAAGAATCATTTGTTTGGCATGTCTTATTCTCAATCAAAAGAAAAGACTCTTAAAAGCCACTTATTTTAGTGGCCATGCTGTATGCTTATGATTAACTAAAAACAACCAGCTCATGAAATTAATTTGCTTGGTAAAGTCTGATTCCTGATCACTCTTATGAGTCAGTTATTTAAGCGTATGCAGTATGTTTATGATCCACTAAAAAGAACCGGCTCATAAGAGTCACTATTTAAGGAATCAGACTCTACTGGTCACGCTGTATGTTTTGACTCACTAAAAAATAAGGGCACACAAGAATCATGAGAAGTATTCAGCTGGTCATGTGATCTCAGCATGGTGGCCACCCAGAGAGAAGACCACCCTTAGGTAGAATTTTTCTAGCCCACTGATACGACTTGAGTCAGCTTATATGAATGTGCCGAATTTGAAACATATAGTACAGCATTTAAAACATTTGTAGAAAGTATTTCATTAAGTGTAAAATTTGTAAGAAAAGGTTTCAAGCACCAATAGTCTGCAACAACTAAACAACCAAAGTTGGCAACTAATGACAGGCTTGTTAGCGACAACATGCTAAAGCTAACCGACTGTGTGCTTTTGCCAAGCCCTATATAAAGTAAGGCTCTACGAAATCCATTTTATTTTTTTCCTAAATCCATTCTATTTTTTTTTCTAAATTTATTCTATTTTCCCCCCCCAAATTCCATTTTTTCCATTTTAATTTTTCTGGATTCTGTTTTTTTTTCTTGTTTTTGTTTTAATGGTTAAATTAAAAATGTTAATCAAAAAGCATGTCTAATTAATTGAAATCATGAAACTTACACAATTTAACAGCAATTTATTAAAGTGCCCCTATTATGCCATTTTTACGGTTCCTAATATTGTTTTGGGAGTCTCCTACAATAGGATTACATGCATGCAAGGTCAAAAAAACGCTTTTGTTTTCTCAAAATATGCATTTAATATCACCTCATTTTCCAGCGATTCTCAAACGATTTGGTCGAAGCAGTTCAAAGATTCAGTCTGTCTAAACCCCTCCTTTCCGTGAGCCTGCTCTGGTCTGATTAGTCAGATGGCCTAGTCTGACTAGGCCATCTGATACGCCTATTTCAACAGTTCTGTATTTTGAACGCTCTATAGAAAGTATAAAAATCTATTATTAGCATACTTACAGGTTGTGATTCAGTGGAGCAGTTGGTCCAAATAAACAGGATACTGATCCATCTTTCCGTGTTGAACTCCCCGAGATTAGAGAAGCAGATGTCAGTAGAATGACGTGTTTGCGGGCGGGGTCAAGTTCGCGGACGGCCAACGTGTAGAACATAGGTACGCATTATGCAAATGTGTTACCCCGTGACGTATAGCCGTTACGGAAGTGGGATTGGAATTAACGACTCGTTTCAGCTGTTCAGACTCGATTCTTTATTTTGGGAGACAACAACTTTATTTATCGTGCACTTTCAGCTTTACAATTTTGCAGATCGTTTACATTCACATACAGCTACACTACACACTACATGAAAGGCAATATTGGAAAAGGCATAATAGGGGCACTTTTATTAAACTTTTTTTTTATTGTTTTATTTCTTTATTTTTTTGTTATGTGTTAGGCTGTGTTATCTATTTAAATTTTTCTAATAAATAAATTCTGGTAAATATTCTGTTTTAATAATCATTTTAGTAGTAGTTACATTAAGTAATATATTTCTGTCACAGTTTCTTCAAGTTAAACCAAACTTTTATTTTGACGGGTCGATGTGAAGGCCTTTCGGTTTCTGTTTGTATATGATATGAAGGTAGATTTGCTCAAAAGAAATGGTAAAATGCTCATGAAGTGACTCTCAGGGAAGTTCTAGAGACTATGTTAATGTGTTCATGCACTCATATATTGAGGCGGCAGCGTTATACAATAAATTCAATTTTTATGACTGGATTCCATGATTCCATCCGCTTTTTCCACATCACAGAAATCACATGGACCTAATAAAGACATACCGACATCCAATTAATTCACAAAATTTCACCCAAGTTAACAGAGAATGACTTAACCCCAATAGAACAGCTATTAACCAAACCAAACAAACAAAAGTGCCCCAAGCTGACCTATTACCAGATTTTGGAGGTGTGTTCCAAGAGGTCCTGTTGAGCATTTAGAAAACCCCCCTCAACATTAGGTTGTACCCTGAAAAGCAGCACAGACAAAAGGTCTCAAAAAGAGCTCAACCTCCACAGTTAGCGAACAGCAACCTGAATAATAGAGGCTCGTTGGGTCGACTGCTTTAAATCTTCTCTAGAATAGATGTGCAGGTGGTGTTGATTTAACACCAATGACAGTTAAGGCCAACACAATGCAGAGTCTCCTCTTCACAGACCAGTCATAGAGAAAGAGGGGGAAGGAGAAAGCGAAAGAGTGAGAGAGCAAGGATTCCACACAAGAATGACAAGCACTTCACCCTGTATTAAAGGATAAAACTCTGAGCCGGCCCCTCCGAATCGTCCCCGGGCTGAAGGGAGTGTATTGTTTGGAAGCGTTCCCAGGGGCACAGATACATGCCGGGACCGGAGGGGTAACGTAAGGCCCGTGAGGCACGGCTCACACAGCAGTGCCGAGAGGAGACTGACCCCACTGTCTCTCTGGGAGGGGTTGGCAGTGACCCCACATTTTTATGTCCTCTAACAGAATGTTACGCTGTCACGCCTCATTGGGCATGACAATGAACATGAAAAGTTGCCACTCTGGATGATTAAGAAAGCTATTTATCCATCTCTGGGGACAATGCGGCCATTCAGCAGGACTGAAACATAATTCACAGCATATGAGACGTCTTTTCAGATATCAAACCGATGTCGTTAGCCTCTCTGCGAAAGGAGATTTGTCTGTAAAATATGGTGAATGGGTGTTGCGAACAATCCTCGGTTGTATTTCGGATTTTTCCACAAAGGCGTGAAAATTGAAAGAGAAGTGAGGGAGAGTGAGAGGGTGAAACAGTAGTGTGTTCATGTTATTAATAGAGCTCTTGAACATAACGGGGCATCGCAGCATACCCCGCATTCCAGACGCTATTGTTGACCTTTCTAGAGTCTTGAGTAGCCGGGCTTTATCACTAATGTCGGTCCAAATTTGCAGCTTTCACTAGCTAAGAGCTGCCCAACTAGACAAGAAAAAGAAACATCTGATCTAAAATGACCAACCACATTGTGTTTTGTTTTAGGTGGTGTTTGGAAGGCAGAGTTATCTGATTTGATTGGCAGATTCACTCTGAAACACTTTCCCACATATATGTATTAATTAAAATGCATCCTTTATGATTTGATAATTGCACAAACCCATAACACAATTTTTGTTTTATTATAATTATTTGTATTATTTATATATATTTAATTGGCACAGAAATTACAAATTTTAACGACCCTTTCCACTATCTAACAAGTAGCAAATCATGATTTGACAATTAAATCCTATTAGCTATTAAAAAAATATATATAAATAAAAGTATGAGCTCTTCAATGCAGCCCATCCAAACTTCATAAGGTGGCACTTGAGTTTAAAGTTGTGGGTATGTAAAAACATCAGGATTTCCCAGCAACCTGTCTGTTAGGACCAGACATAAAAACAAATAAATAATCTCTCAATCCCAGAGTTCTGACAGAGTGTCCCACTTCCTTCAAGCAGACGAACTTCCCATGACAGCTGGACCCTCGGCGCTATAAATATCCCCATCCTAAAACCACCCATGTCACAGTTGCAGATCGAGTGGAGATGCTAGCAAACGAGCACAGCCAAGTCTACTGTTTCTCAGCACGCTCACTGTATCTGTCTGCGCCGTCGCTGTCATGCTGTGGTTTCTCTAAGTCTCTTTCACAAGCTCGCCTGTGCCCACAATTATACTTGGC